AGCATACCTGTGCCACACACACACACACACACACACACATACACACACACATACACACGCAATCTATACAAGTTTGAAGTTGAGCCAAGTTTACCAGTAAGTTGAGAAGGAGACAGCACAGGCAATTGGGTGGCTCATGAAGGCCCTGAAGGTTGAATCTCAAGTGCAAGAAAGAAGAGAGCAAAGGCAGATGGGAAACGAACAAAGAGCAAGTGAAAATGTGCACCATGTGACATCCACACCCACAGCACCTTTATAGCCTGTCAATCATGGGTCTCGTGGCTCACGTGTGACTTATAGTTGATCACTAACATTAAAAACATCGGGATTCTCCCAGAAAAGTGTAGACATCTCAGATAGAAACACTGAGTATGTGGGAGCTGCCGCCTTTCTGCCTGGCCACAATCAACAGAGCCGAGCGGGCATTGCCATTTCTCTGGGGTATAAACACTCAGGTCAAGCAGTCCCATTGTCTCTGCTGCCTGTCTGTGTATATTAATCTTGTTCGCTCTCTGCCTGGCTCTGAAGCAGATGAGTAGACCAGACAGGTCTCAGGGAGTGCTAGACCCTAAAAGAATGTTGCAGGAATGCGGACATACTGACCTAAGGCCCAGGGTGGACTGGCTCTTGGCTGTAGACAATGGGGACTGTCTGTAGGCATCTGAGCAGGGAGGGGCCTTGCTCTGGGATCACTCATTCAGTACATGGCCGGGTGCTGTGCAGTTTCATGCTCTCCCATTGAATCGTCTCCATGGTTGGGCTAGCCGAGAACTCCTGCCTCATTCTCCCAAGTTCTGGGATCCCAAGTGCCGACCGTTACACCCAGATCACTCTCTCAACTTCAACTCGGTCAGTTTACAGTCTTAGCCACCCTTGTCTACAACATAGTGCAAGTTCATGGGATGTGGATGTGGGCACCTTAGAGGGTAGAGTGTCAGTGCTCCCTGACTGCCACAGAGGGGAAAAAGGAACACATTTTCCAGTGAGGGCTGACATAGACTCCTGGTCACAATAACTAAGGAGGTCCATTCCCTGTTGGAGGGATACAGGAACGTGACTCTTCCTGCTCACTCATCTAACCCAGCTGTACCCTCTGTGCTCTGAGTACCATGTGGGTCCCCAGTACTTGTCTACTTAGGGTCATGTGCTGTGTGTGGTAGTAGTGTGGCCTGGTATGAAACTGAAGGTTTGCTGTCCCTGAGCTGATTCCTGGTGTTCATTTCTTCCCTTCTTACATATGCTACTTTTGCACTCTTGGGGCAGAGTTGAATTATGGCGACAGAAGCCTGTAGAGCCTGAAGTGTTTTCTAACATTAAATGCTTCTTGATCGCTTCCAGCTCCCCTTGTCTCATCGTTTCTCTCTGTGTGAAGCTGCTATATGTTTTGGAGTCTTCTAGCTGAAACAATAGGGTTTTATTTTTGCTGCTTTGGTTTTTGTTAACGTTTATCTTATTGGAGACATGAGCCATGCGTGCTCCAGACACATGTGGAGGTCAGAGGACCACTTACAGGAATGAGTTCTCTCGTTCACCGTGTGGGTTCCTAGGTTTGAACTCAGATCCTCAGGTTTGGTGGCAAGGGCCATCACCCTTGGCCCATCACCATTTTTCCAGCCCTTTCTTGATTTCTGAAAGGGGGTGTTGCTATGAAGCCCTGGCTGCTTTGGTAGTTTAGGCTGGCCTCTTCTGACTCACAGCAACCTATCTTAGATTATAGGTGTAACTTGCCTCTCTCTCTCTCTCTCTCTCTCTCTCTCTCTCTCTGTCTCCCTCCCCCCTATCTCTCCCTCCCTCCTTCCCTCTCCCTCCCTCCCTCTCTCTGTCTCTCTCTCTGTCTCTGTCTCTCTCTCTCTCTCTCACACACACACACACACATTGTTTTAGGCAGGTTTTCTCACTAAACCTGAAGCTCACCATTTCGGCTAAGCTACCTTGCCAGCAAGGCCCCAGGATCGGCCAGATGCCTCTCCCAGAACCAGGGCTAAGTGTTTCAGATGTGCACTGCCACCTTTAGCTTTTTACATGGGTGCTGGGGATCCAGGTTTAGGGTTCCTCACTCTTGTGCAGCATGTGCTTTAGCCCCTGAGACCCCCAAAATAAATTTTGGGCTCATGTTTAGTGTTAGTTTTGAATGCTTATTTTCAGACATCTGTGAAGGAATCTTCTTTTAGGAGTAATATGTAAAAGCCAGATGGTAGTGGTACACACCTTTAATACCAGTACTGGAGAGCCAGAGGAAGGCAGATCTCTGTGAGTTAGAGGCCAGCCTGGTCTACAAAAGCTAGTTCCAGGACATGCTCCAAAGCAACACAGAGAAACCCTGTCTCAGAAAAAAAAAATGTAAAAGTTAGGGGCAGATATGATGTCTTCTGCATTCACTTATGTAGTAAACTTATCGGCCACTAGTTCCCAAATAAGGACACGGAGATTTATTAATTATAAAAACTCGGCCTTAGATTTGGCTTGTTTCTAACTAGCTCTTATAACTATAACTTAACTCATTTCTATTAATTTATGTGTTGTCAAATGGCTCGTGGCGTTTCATCTCCTCCTGCATGTCCTGCTTCCTCTCCATACCCTCTAGCATCTTTTTCATGCCTAGATTCAGCTCCTCCTCTTCTCTTTCTGCCCAGAAGTCCTGCCTAACCTTTTCCTGCCCTGCTATTGGCCATTTAGCTCTTTACTAAACCAATCAGTAGGTACCTTGGCAAAGACACAGCTTCACAGAATACAAAGAGATTATTCCACAGCACACTTATCCTCCGCCAGGCTGTGCAAGGCACCATGTGGCTGCAGTGTTCACTGAGGAACAATTATTTGTGGAATCACCGAAGGGTGTGTAAAAAGTATATCACAAGAACTAAACCACTGGACTACACTGTTTCCCACTTCTGAATCCTCCCATGGTAAATACGATCTCAATTCCCAATCTCCAACCCACATCTGGAAATGAGGATACTAAGCATATTAAGTAGATTAGGCACTAACTAAATCTTAAACCATTTCTCTCACTGTTCTCAGCTGGACAAAGGCTGATGCTGGCAACCCTAGGGAGTTCTTACCCTCTGTAAGGAAACTGTGGGCCAATTCTCTGGTTGAGAAAAACTATTGGACTTGTCTTCCGTGTAGTAAAAAATTGCTGGCTGTATCTCAGTCGGTTAGCCCTTTTCTCTCCAGAGGCAAAACTGATGCCTGCAGATCTCCAAAGCAAAGTCGCCATCTGCCTCACTCCTTATGGAAATTGCCAGTTGTGTCCCCATTATGGGAAATAGTCGACCTTGTCTCCAAACGGAAGAGCCTGCCAGCTGTGCCTCTCCGTGGAAGGGAAGTCGGTAGAAGTGAGCAATGTAAAACCCATGCGTGAGTCTGAGTCTGCTCCCTCCTCATCACAAGCCAACCTTCACCTCCTCTCATCTGTCAAGATCATCAAAGCCGAGGTGGTGGTGGCATTGAAATGAGACATTTAAACCAAAGAGATGGTTGTGAAGTGATGGTCCAGAAATGACCTGTTTCAGCAATGACACTGAATGGACTCAATCAGGTTGTATTTAGAGAATGATATGTATGTATCCTTGTAACAATAATAAAGAAAAAGAGAGGAAAACTCATAGGCTGGAAACAGACCAAGTTCATATTTTGGCTCTGTTCCTTTCAGCCACAAGGATACCTGTATTGACTGATTAATTCATGAGAAAGAGGCTTAAAGACTTACAAATGTTGAATGAGTCCACACCGTACAGTACATAGGAGCTAAAGAGGGAGTTCTTAAGAGTGGGTTAATTCATCCCAACCTCTACTCCAACTCAGTGTCCCATGATGCGAGTAGGAAGGAGAGGGGAGAAGTCAAGCCATGCAGGTGGTACTGCATTAGGTACATCAGGACATGAGCGTTGTGGGTCAGCCTAAGTATGGGAACAGAGCAAGGGAAAGTACAGTGTGGAGTGGGCAGGTGGGCAGGAGTGAGGTCCTGGGCAGCTTGCTCAGTCTTGCTGGTCTGGTCCCTGTTCTATAATGACAACAGAGATAGTTGCCAGCTCATACATTTGAGCATTAGATGAGATAGTAGATACATGGGCACATAGATACATAGGCACATACATAGATACACAGATAGATACCTAGATACATACATAGGCACATAGATCTTAAGGAGTAAGAAATGGTAGTTTAGGTTATACTGACATTGATAAAACACATACATGTGCCCTGATGGAGAATCTCCCTTACCTTCACTGAGTAGGTCTCAGCTACCATGAGTCCCATCAGAACCATTTCCTCATAGGCATAGATTAATATTTACCTAGAATTATAGGAATGGGAAATAAAGAGGATTTTTTGAGAGGGAATTGGTAGAAACATCTGAATTTAGGTTGTGGTATGATTCATAAATACATCATTATATATAAAACCACTAACTTTTGCGTTATAGTTTAGAGTAATATAGATTACATGTTTTAGAAAAAACTGAAGCATGTTTAAGCATATGAAATGACTCCAAGGTCTCGGGGTACAGCTAAGTGGTCCTTGCCTAGCATACCTAAGACTTTGGGTTTGATCACTAACACCATGAAAAAAAGAAATAGAGAAGAGATGGGGAAGAAAAGAGGAGAGATAAAAGGAAAATTTAAAAAGAGAATTCTAAGATGTCTCCAAATATGGGCATGCACATGACGTCCAGAGATGGGGAAAACGTGATCCAAATCTTGGGTTTTCAAACAGGCAGTGTTCCAGCAAGGAGAGGGTGAAACAGGGCCCATTCCAGTCCCTTGAAAACACAGTAATCCACCAGTTCACCAGTTATTGTTTGTTTGTTTTGTTGGTTTTGTTTTTCTGTTTCCATGGAGCTAACCCTGTTGGCAACTTCTTTATATTCTACAGACACCTGCCCTACATAGAAACTCTGAGTTTACAGTCAGCTCTCTGTCTGACCCGAACTTTAGAATCTGATCACAAGCCTGTGTCATATTCATCATGTTTTGCTTTTGTCTTATGTTCTACAGTTTTTGAAGAGCCAGAAGATCCAAGCAACAGATCGTTTTTCTCTGAAATTATCTCTTCAATTTCGGATGTGAAGTTCAGCCACAGTGGGAGGTATATCATGACCAGAGACTATCTGACCGTGAAAGTCTGGGATCTCAACATGGAAAATCGCCCCATCGAGACTTACCAGGTACAGACTATACCCTTTGTGGGCTTCTACATCAGTCTCTACCTGCAGATGTTTACGGTGCAGAGAGATAGAGGATGTTCATAGTGATGTGTTACATAAAAAACAAACTACAGGTGGCAAGTGCTGTAGGATTCAAGATAGAATCCATGTGAACTTGGACTAGTAACAGTTATATCCTAAAAATATTATGTGGGATGGGTACCGTAGCTAGAGTGAGCAAGACAAGCATAGCCTTGCTCTCACGACACTCTCTAGTGGAGAAGCTGACTGGTAAACAAGGAACTCACTGCATTGGAGCAAGAGATGGTGCTAAGACCAGGGGAACCCAAGGTAGGGAAACCTTGCAGGGTAAAGAAGGTAAAGACAAAACTGTCATAAGTTGGTTAACAACAGCATGTGCTTAGAAAAATACTATGGCAGCCAGACGGTGTTGGTGCGTGCCTTTAATCCCAGTACTCCGGAGACAGAGGCAGGTGGATCTCTGTGAGTCCGAGGCCAGCCTGGTCTACAAAAGCTAGTTCGAGGACAGGCTCCAAAGCTACAGAAAAACTCCGTCTTGAAAATAAATAAATAAATGGAAAAAAGGAAGGAAGGGAGAGAGAAAGAGAGAGAGAGAGACAGACAGACAGGCAGACAGACAGACAGACAGACAGACCTACAGACCATGGCCAAATACCTGGAGTAAAGAGAATTGAGACTGAGAAAGTTTTCCTTGATTTGGAACGGGGGGGGGGGGCAGAAAGTTGAGCCTGAAGACTGAAGTGGGGCCTGGTCTTATAAAACCTGGTACTGAGAGCTTTACTTGTCTGTGGCTGGGTACAAGGAAATGGCATTGACAACAATGGGTTCCACCTTATAACATGACAAGCAGACTGCAGGAAAGGAGATGGTGCTGATGTGAGCAGGATGATAGAACAACAGGGAGGATGGAGAGTCAGTGTCATCTTCTTCCTTATAGAATGTGGAAGTGCTGTCAAGGACTCTATGTCAGAAGTTCTTGCCATAAGCACTGGGTAGAAGATGGCAGAAACACTGATGGGGAAATTTAAAAAGCCAGGGAAGGGTCAAAGAGAAGATAAATCAAGGGACAAAAATAGCTGCTTTTATTTTTTTATTATCTCTAATTAGATAAAAAGAAATGAGGCAGGGAAAGGGGGATCTAGGCAGACAGATTTGATTTATAATGTTTTGCTTGAGATACAATTCGTCTAGCCCAGGATTCACTCATTTCAGAACATATAGCTCCCTGAGTTTCAGTATGGTCACAGAGTTGCAGAACCATTACCGACTCCGGAACATTTTGTCACTGTGATTTTCAAACATTCTAGTCGCACTGGGGAGGAAACACTGTAGCAGAGACAAGTGAAGAGACAGGAAAAAAATGGATTTTAAAGTTTATGCACAATCTGTCTTAGAGTTTCTGTTGCTTCAATGAAACACCATGACCAAAATGCAAGTTGGGGAGAGAGGGTTTATTTGGCTTATACTTCAACATTGCTGCTCATTATTGAAGGGAATCATGACAGGAACCTGGAGGCAGGAGCTGATGCAGAGACCATGGAAGGGTGCTGCTTACTGGCTTGCTTCCCATGCCTGGGCAGTCTGCTTTCTTATAGAACCCAGGACCACCAGCCCAGGGATGGCCCCACCCACCATGGTCAAGATGCAGGGGCTGATAAATTTCATTCTAGGAACATCCACGCTTTCTTACTTCTGTTTTCTCAGAAAAGTGAGCAAGGTCATCTGTTCAATAAGGAGAAGATACTTAAAATGTTCGATTAACAGAGGGGGATACTATAAGGTTACTCATGGATCAGTGTGAGGTCTATGTTGTTCATTCAAACCTTAGAACCTTGGAAGGACTGGGAGTATAGCTTGGTTGGTAGAGGACTTGCCTAGCGTGCAAAAAGCCCTCCGTCCATTCCCCGGTAATGTATAAACAGGGCAGGGTGGGACACACCTGTAATCCCAGCACTCAGGAAGTGAAGGCAGGAGGATCAGTTCAAAGACATCCTTAGCTGGGGATGTATGAAAACTTCTCTCAAAAAGTTGTTTATAATAAAATAAGACAAATATGTGTGAGTGTGTCTTCCAATCACATTCGCCTGCTTAGCACAAGTGACAGAAGAAGTTCAGCCAGTGGTGAAGTTTTGTTAAGGGAGTAGAATTAAAAGAGAGAGGTTTGTTGAACTTGCACATTGTGAGTGAAGTTGCCATGACAGATGCCAACCCTAAGGAGCTAAGGAAGAACAAAGTGCTTGGGTCAATGGTCCTGAAGAACTGACGGAATCAAGGTACTAGGAACTAAAAAGAAAGGAAATAGCAATAAAAGTAGACTTCACATTTGATATTGTTGTAGTCGTGTGACAATGGGGGCAGGGAAGGAAAATCATTGAATATGATGGGCCCAGTAGTTAATAGCCATGTGTTTGAGTCACTATAAATGATGACAGAAAGAATGGAAGAGAGAGGGGTACTCAAAAGAGAGAGAGAATGAGGTACTCAAGTTGCTTCAAGGAATGACTCTGTGCTTTTGATGACGTGGATAACAAGAAGTTGAATTTGAATGTTTGACATCAAAGGAACGGAGAATAAGACAGGAACAGTAGTCCTGAGCAGCAGGGCACTCCCTTTGAGCATGTGGACTTGAGAACAAAACCCCCACATCATCCTGAAGTAGTCTTCAGAGACACAAGCAGGAAGGAAAGGGTAGTGCACAGAGTACCACTGATACCGACAATTCTAGAATGGTATCAACCTAGAGTGGTCGCTCTAGGTGGGCATCCACTGGACTTCTCCATGTTCAATGTTGTGTAGGTGTTGTCTTCAATAGAGCCTTGTCATCAGTTTGTGGATACCAACCTATAGCCTTGGCAATAGCCTGGGTTGTTTGGGGTTTCTCATGGGATTAAATTGTTTATTTGATCTTGATTTAATTTTGGTAAGTGGCATGTATCAAAAAAATATCCAACAGGCAGTGGTGGTCAACACCTTTAATTCCAGAATTTGGAAGGCAGAGGCAAGTGGAGTTCAAGGCAATCCTAGTCTACAAATTGAGTTCCTGGACAGCTAGGGCTATTACACAGATAAACCCTGTCTTGAGAAATAAAAAAAAAAAAAAGGAAGGAAGGAAAAGAAGGAAGAAAGGAAGGAAAAAAGGAAAAGTATCCATTTCTTTTAGATTTTCCAACTTGATGGAGTTCAGGTTTTTAAAGTATGTTCCTATAATTAATTCTCTGGATTTCCTCAGTGTCTGTTGTACAACCCCCCTTTTCATTTCTAGTTTTGTTAATTTGGATATTCTGCCTGCTCTGTGGTTATTTCTTTCTACTTTATTGATTTATTCCCTAAGTTGATTAATTCTTGCCATCTACTCCTTTTGGGTGAGGGTTCTTTTTTCTAGAACTTTCAGGTACTGTTAGTATAAGATCGCTCCAATTTTTTTTGTTTTTTGTTTGTTTGCTTTTATTTTTCGAGACAAGGTCTCTCTATGTAACTGATCTGACTGTCCTGGAACTTGCTTTGTAGACCAGGCTGCTCTCAAACTCAGAGATTCACCTACCTCTGCCTCCCAATTGCTGGGATTAAAGGTGTGTGCCACCACTGCCTGGCACACTCCAATTTTTTTTTTAATGTGGGTCCATAGCACCTTGAACTTGCCTCTGAGACTTGCCTTCATTGTGCTGCGTAAGCTTGGTATGTTTTGTTTTCATTTTCATTCAATTCTTAAAAGTTTTAGTTTCTTTGTTAATTCTGTCTTGACCCATTTTTCATTGAATGTAGTGAGATGTTCCATTCCGTGAGCCCGTAAGCTTTCTGTTGTTTCTGCAGTTGTTGATATCCAGCTTTATTTAATCCATGGTGGGTAGGCAGGATGCAGGATGCTATTTCTTTTAAAAAAAAAAAAAAACTTTTTTTTTAATCTGTTGAGACTTGGCTTTGTGTCCGAGTATGTGGTCAGTTTTAGAGAAAGTTCTATGAGGTGCTGGAAAGAGGTCTATTCTTTTGTGTTTGGGTAAAATGTTCTGTAAACATCTGTTAGGTCCATTGGTTTATGGTATAAATTAGCTCCAGCATTTCTCTGTTTATTCTTTGCATGACCTGTATATTGGCAAGAGTGAGGTAGTGATGTCACCCACTGGCAGCGTGTGAGGGCTGAGTGTAATTTAAGCTGCAATCGTGTTCCTTTTATGACTTAGGTGCCATTGTTTGCTGCATAAATATAAAGAATTGCGGTGTCCTCTTGAATTTTTTCTTTGATGAGTATGTAGTGTCCTTCCCCATCTCCTCTGATTAGTTTTGGCTTGAAGCCAATTTTGTCAGATATTAAAGCTTACACCAGCTTGTTTCTTAGTTCCATTTGCTTTGAATATCATTCTCCATCCTTTTACCCTGAGACAATGTCTATCTAACTCAAGGTGATCTTTGATGTTAAAGTGTATTTCTTGGCTGCAGCAGAAGGATGGGTCCTGTTTTGACATGCATTCTTTTAGGTTTTTTTACTGGGGAATCGATACCATTGATACTGAGTTAACAATGAGCAGTGTTCATTGATTACTGTTTATCTTTGTTGTGGTAGTGCCCCCCTTTTGATTTACTGATCTGGTATTATTTATTCTTTGTGAGGGTGTGTGTGTGTGTGTGTGTGTGTAACCTGTTCAGGCTGAAGTTTTTCTTCTAGCACCTTCTGGATAGATGAAGATGGATACTGTTAAAATTTGCTTTGCTCATGAAATTTTTTTCTTTATCTATGGTGACTAAAAGTTCTGCTAGGTTAGTAATCCGGGTTTGCACTTGTGGTCTCAGAGTCTGTAGAACATCTGTCCAGGTCCTTCTGGCTTTTAGAGTCTCCACTGAAAAGTCAGGTGTCATTCTAAAAGGTCTGCCTTTATGTGTTACTTTTTCCCTTGCAAATTTTAATGTTCTTTCTTTGTTCTATACACTTGGTGTCTTGATTATTATCTGCTGAGGGAATTTCTTTTCTGGTCCAGTCTATTTGGTTTCCTGTACCTTGATCTGCATCTCCTTTAGTCTGGGGACATTTTCTTCTATAGTTTTATTGAAAATCTCTCCTGTGACATTGACCTTGGTTTTTTTTCTCCTTCCTTTATTCCTGTTGTTCACAGATTTGATCTTTTCACAGTGTCCCAGATTCTCTGGATGTTTTGTGCCTGGAGTTCTCTAGCTTTAACATTTTCTTTGACCAAGGTATCGATTTCTTTTATCTTCAATGCCTGGGGTTCTCTCTTCCACCATTTGTATTCTGTTGGTGAGGCTCGCCCCTGAGGTTCCTCTTTGAGTTCCCAGATTTTTTTATTTCTAGATTTGTCACAGTTTGGGCTTTGGTTTCCTTTGATTTTATTTCCACTTTCGGATCTTGAACTATTTTTATTCATTTCCTTCCACTGTTTGGGTTTTCATAGTTTTCCTTAAGGGAGTTATTTATCTCCTCTTTAAGAACCCCAATCATATTCGATTTTATTTTGTGCTTCTGCTACGTTGTATTTCTCAGGGACTGTTGCAGTAGGGTTGCAGGGTTCTCGTGGAGACTTTGCCCTGGGAGTTCTGTTTTCACACTGGTATCCAGGCATCTGAGATTGGGATGACTGTAATTCTAGGTGCTGGGTTCTGGTCCTGTCTTTGTTGGGTACTTTGTTCCCTCATTTCTGTTGCCTTCTGTTCTTAGGACAGTGTTCTTAGGCTGTGTGTTGCCTGGTGTAGAATGTTTCTGGGGTCCTGCCAGGTGTAGTCACTGGGGGTTTCAGGTACAGTGATTCTCTAGGTATTGAGAGCTGACCCCCAGGAATAGGAATAGGCTAGAAGGGGGTCCACAGGAAGGAGAAAGCAAGGCATTTCACCAGTATCTGCTTTACTGGTTTTTAATGAGGGCAGAAAGTGAGACCAGACCACAGCAGGTGTTCTGCTACAGAGGTGGGGCTGAGACTGGGGGATTGGATTTGGAGGAGAAGAGAAAAGGGAAGATCTGCAGTTAGCCTACCTGTTTCCCTGGGAGATGTGGCTCATGGCTTCCCAGGGAATCCCGGAGTTGTGTGACTTGGGACCAAAGGGTGAGTTGGGAGAGGGGGATGCAGTGGGAAGAGGTCTGCTTGATTCTCTGGAGATCTGAGAGGAAGAGCAGGCTGCAGCAGATGATGTGTTACAGAACTGGGGCTGAGACTGGGGCAGGGTTTGGAAGAGAGGAGGGTGAGGTGAAGATCTGCAGTTAGCCTACCTGCTTTTTGGCCCGGTTAATTTTTATATGAAGGCATAATGTTAGAATAGCAATACCTGCTTGTCTTGCTTCCTGGCTCCATTTATTTAGAATACTTCTCTCTATCCTTTCTCTGTAGATCTGCATATCTTTAAAGTTGCATTTCTTATAGACAGAAAGATTGATTGCTTCTGTTTTCTAATCCATTTAGCCAAAGTGTCTTTTAATTGAAATATTAAGGTCATTAATATTTAAGTTATCGTTGAAAGGTTTGTGTTAATTATAGTCGGTTTGTGTGTGTGTGTGTGTGTGTGTGTGTATTTTGCAGTTTGTGTTCTTATTCATACTTCATTTTTCAGTAATTGCAACTTCATTTTCTCTCTAGAGTCATTTGGCTATGGGCTGGCTTAGTGGGCATCAATTCTTTTAGTTTATATGTACCATAGGAAATTTTCATCTCTCTCTCAACTATAGCTGATAGTTTGGCTGGGTCCAGTCATCTAGGTTAGCCTCCATTGCCATTTTGAATTTGAAGTTTATGGCTCTTCTGACTTTCCAGGTTTCTATCAGCTATTATTCTGATTGATTGTCTTTTATATATGATTTCTGGGGTTTTTAGTCTCTTGCCACGTCCATTCTCTTTCTTTGTGCCATATACTTAGTGTTTTATCTGTGTTACGCCATGGGGAGCTCTTCTGTTTGTTGTTCTGTGTGTTTCCTGTATCTATCTGGGTGTGCCTTTCCTCGGAGGAGATTTTCTTCTATAAGCTTTAAGGTCTGGTCTGCACCAGCAACGTGAGATTCTTCTCTCTCATCTATGCCTATAGTTCAAAGATCTGATCTTGTCATCGTGTCCCACAATTCCTGTATAGTCCTTTCCTGTGTGATTTTTAATCTTTCATGTTCTTTGTTTGTGTGATCTAATTCTTCTACTTAATCTTTGAGACCTGATATTTTCTTTTGTCTAAAAGGCTTTCCCCTGAATTTTCTAATTGAGAGCCTGAATATTTTTTTCACCCCTACCTTCGTTTTAGCTTGAGTTATCAGTGTTTCTATTTCATTAAGGGATTCAGTTTTCAAATCCAGGGCTTCCTCTGTCTCCTCATAAGAACTTCAGCAGCCCCTCCTACCCAGCCATCTTATACTCAGCCGAGAGGTCAGGAACCTTCTTTGGCTCAGTTTTCTGCTCCACCCTGCAGGATTGCTCTGTGTCCTATCAACAGAGCTCCAGACCCCATCTAGATTTTAGCTGCTGCCCTTACCCCAATCTGAGCCATCATCAGGGAAGTGCCCTTGGACTTTTGCACTTACGTGTCATTGGAACACGCAGACTTGGTGGCCCTTCCTATGATGTCCTTCTTCCCCTTGCTCAGGATCTGCTTACTCGCCATAGGTCTGTCCCACTCCTTCCAGGACCTGTGGCCCTTAGCTCTTCCCTAAGGTCTGAAAAGCCTTTCCTCCAGATGTCATTCAGACTCATTTGCTCTCTGCAGAGTACATGTGTTACCTCATTACATGTAACCTGGCATCCTCATCCTACAAAAAATAATGTCCCTCATCTCTCAGTGCCCTTCACCACACTTCCATGTTCTGTGATTTTAGCGCTGTCCAAAACTTCTCATGGATCTGTTCCATCCTCTGGTCTCTTCCCCAGTGCTCTGCCTCAGGCCCATAGCAGACTTGTAGTGAACAGCCGTGTATCAAAAGCCTCAATGAATACTAGTCTCTTACACCCGATGACCTTATCCAATCCCCAGAGCCCACATCTAAGTGGAAAGAGAAGCCCAACTCCACAGAGCTGTCCTCCGCCTGCTACATGTGCTCACGCCTGCATACACACATCATGCAGGCGTACACCAACAATAACAAAACAAAACATAATACTACCACTTACGGGCTCCTGCATTGTGCCACTCTACACAAGCAACCTTCTTCAGTCCACACTGGCATAAGAGAAGGTCACTGATGCAGGCTTTCCTCCTAGAGACAGGGCCCTGAGCCTGCATTCAGTGCAGAGCCTCCTGATGTAATATCAGAGGGCACACAGAGGGGCTGAACTGCTCACGTCACCGCGTCTGTGTTCGTGGGACTCCGCCCCTTTTATGCTGATGCCATGCTCTTGATGTTTCCTCTCAGGTTCATGACTACCTCCGCAGCAAGCTGTGCTCCCTCTACGAAAATGACTGCATTTTTGATAAATTTGAGTGTGTATGGAATGGGTCAGACAGGTAAGAAACTGTGTTTGGGCTGAGAGTCTTTCCCTTGAGGAGCCTTCGGACGATTCGCCCTAAATGGGGTACATCCAAACGGAGTTCAGTGCGGACCCCAAGACCTGGCCAGGATACATTACGCGGGCCACGAACTGGAGTCCGTGGCCAAGCCTGTAAAGAGAAGGATGCAGTGAGGCCCCAAGTTCGTTTCAGGCCTGGTGCAGGTGACAGTTTAGTGTCAACAAGAAAATGGTGTCTTTGACATACAAGGTACCGGAAAGCTAGGGCCGGGTGCCTACTCAAGACCCCTGGTAAAACACCAGGAAATCCTCTCCTGCATAACTCTGGCTACTAGACCTATCCCCTGGAAGCTGCTAGAGCAGACCTGACTGAAGCCTGTAGTGCTTCATTAACAGAATTCGAGCCAACCTCATTTATCACATTCCTTCAGAGTGATTTATTAGTGTTTTAAGGCCCTTGATTTGTACAATACTTCATATTACCTCCCAATAGTTCATTTTCAGTCTGACAAATACAGATGATTCTCTGACTAGCTGTAAACTAGATGCAGGCTGTTGAGCTCACTTAGCTCCTTGATGAAGGTGGTATAGCATTCGATAGCACGGGACTTTTGCCCAGCTAGCCATTTTGAGATTCCAGCTTCAAGTCAGTGCCATGGTTTCTGACGATCTTGCCCCCTTGCCAAACCACCACCGAATCTTCTTCTGTAGAATGCAGCTGAACTAAATGTAGTAAACATGGAGCAAAGGACCTGGGTTGCAACTACGCAGTTTATTACAGGACAAGAGAGCACAGCAACTGAACCATATGAACCAGAGTCCCCAGGGAAAGAAGCCAGCCTGTTCCTTTATTTACACTTAGTCATTGTTAGTTGATACAATTCCATTTCGTCCCTCATTAACATAGATTCATAACCGATGACTACTAGGTGTCTATGCACAAGACATTTTTTTACACACGTCTTCCAATCCCAGCCACAATCCATTCTGGGTTTGTCACACTCGCTGCCAGTGTGCACACCTTCATCTCCCCCGAAACTGCCTTGCATGAGCTACTGAAAGCTGTGATTGTGGAGCTAGAGCCCCTCGCATCCGTATCCCCATGACAGTTCACTGGAGCACCCAGACAGATAGATACCCCTTTATCCATAGCATCCCTTTATTTGACCAGTGGGAAAAAAAAATCAACCTTTGATTAATCTGCAGTTGACGAAGTTCCCAAAGCAAGCCAGCCTTACCAGTTTTTTTGTTTTCCTCCTCCAAAACACAGATGACACCCGGCATTCCTTCCCAAACACAATCTGTCAGCCTCTTTGGGGTGCCACCATGAGATGGTATACAAGGGGTACAGGCGGCACTCCACATCTCCCCACTGCCTGCCACCCATCTGAAATGCCAGCCAGCACCCTCTTGCTGGACGTCTTCAGCCTTCGCTGCTCTCCCACTCAATCATAGACATCCCCGAGGACAGAGAGATTGCAAAAACAATGCTTTCCTCCAAGTTTAGATTTAGGGTGATCAAATCTGTTTACTGTCTCTCCGGGTAAGATCACGGCATCCATTTTCTGGATAAGTTTCCTGAAACATCAGCTTATAGAGCTGGCTCCTAAAAGGAGAGAGGCCACCCTGTGGTGGGCACTGCGTCAGTACTGACAAGCTAAGTTCCCTGAGCTCAGACAGCCCAGAAATTCCAAGACAACAATTGTGTGTCAAACCTGGAAAATAGTTTGCTGGTTCCATGTGTTCCTGCTTACACCTCCTGTCTTGGGGTTTCTGGTGCTGTAAAGAGACACCACAGCCACAGCAACTTTTATAAAGGGAAACACTTATCTGAGGTGGTAGCTTATGGTTTCAGAGGTTCAATCCATTATCATCATGGCTGGGAGGCAAACATGGTGCTGGAGAATTCTGCATCTTGATCCAAAGGCACCAGGAAGTAAACTGAGACACTGGACTACCGGAATCTTGAGCATATATGAGACCTCAAAGCCCACCTCCACAGTGACACACTTCCTTCAGCAAGACCACCCCTACTCCAACAAGGTCACACCTCCTAATAGTACCACTTCTTTGGGGGCCATTTTCTTTCAAACCACCACACCTTACACTAATGAAAAGTCAATAACCCCAGAATCATAACAACTGGACCATATTAGTGACCCAAGAACAAAAAGTCTCTATGGGATAAAAATAAGTAATACTGATGGTCATCTCAACCTAAGCCCAGTCAAAGAGCTTGGCACTTTTAATGACTCAAAAAGACATCAGTGCTCTCAGTTTAACCCTCTGGTCCCTGTGAGCTGAGATGTCCATGCTAAGCCTCCTTGGCTCCTAAAAGATGCTCGGGGGATGTCTCGCCACCCTTCTCTGTCATACTCAGTCTCCCCTCTCCCCTGCAGTGTCATCATGACCGGCTCCTACAACAACTTCTTCAGGATGTTCGACCGCAACACCAAGCGTGATGTGACGCTTGAGGCCTCGAGGGAAAACAGCAAGCCCCGGGCTATCCTCAAACCCCGAAAAGTGTGCGTCGGGGGCAAGCGAAGAAAAGACGAGATCAGTGTGGACAGTCTGGACTTTAGCAAAAAGATCCTGCATACAGCTTGGCATCCTTCAGAAAACATTATAGCAGTGGCGGCTACAAATAACTTATATATATTCCAGGACAAGGTTAACTAGGAGGACAAGCTATTACTTAGTCTCACATACTGAATACTAGTCAAACGAGTTTTTAAATGTTTCTTTGGGTCTTCATTTGATGCATTGCGTTTCATTTCCCTATGCATAAAACAATTGGAATAGGATTTAAAAGGAGTTCAATGTTCCCAGCTCCCCAATTCTAAGAAACTTTTGTCCAACTCTGTAGACTCGGGCCACTTCTGTTTAGAACCGAGAGCTGCCAACTGGCACTAATTCTCCCATAGTCGACTTGAATTTCTGATGCGTTCACTCATTGCCCAGTTTTCTCTGGTGGGTTCCGTGTTTTGTTTCTAGGTGTCTGCTGCGATAAAAATGAGATTGTCTGTAGTATTTAAGGCGAAGAGATAAGGTTTTTTTTAATTAAGCAATTCCATTTGTTTGAAAAAAATCAACAAAAAATAAACACTGTTTACTCTTAGAGAGTTTCTCTTTGTGAAAAATCAGGCCTAGTCAGTATATATCACCCATGCCTTCCCACCCATTTCCTTTGAAACAGTTCCATTGAGGCCAAAGACTTATTTCATGAGGCTGAGAAAGCGGTACCGAATGGGAAGGGAAGGGACATCATGACACTGTTTTCTCTTTTGGTAAATGCCATAGAAACAGCCTGGGAATGTAATGGCCAAAGCACCACAAACACTTTAGGGAACTCAGAGAAAATCCTTTCTCCACGGGGTTTCCCAGAGTTTGCTTGGCAAGGCCGGCTGAGACCAGATCCCTTCCATTGCTTGTTACTCTTGCTTTTATTTTTGTTTCCTTTTAAATGGCTCCATCTAATCCCCGCCTCCGTGGTCCTTGGCTCTTTCCCTTCAACCTCCGCCAGAGGATTTGCCCATTGACTTCAGAGGCTGTGCCCTGGTTGCTTGGTATCAGGAGGTCTCAATGAAGCAGTGGGGCATAACAGCAGCAGCCCCCAAGAAAGGCTGGCCTGTTCTTTTGGGTTTATCCCTCCTAAGCAACCCCTCCTCTTCTCTAGAAACGGGCATCCCTCAGTCCTCACTGTGTCTAAAACAAAGGTCATAATGATGCTGGTTTGTAAACCTAAGCACACATCTCTGAGCTCCCTTCACACTCACCAAACTGGAAGAATAGACTTAAGAGCTCCCTCCCTCCTGACAAACAACGAGATGGGGGGGGGGGGGGGCTTTGGGAGGGAGGGGGATGGGCTCAGGACACAGACCGTCATCCCTGCCTTGGCCTTGTGTTGAAGTCGCATTTCCTTACACTCCAAGAACTGTCATGAAACATCAGTTCTGACCAGCAGTATTTCTTTTCATCATTAATCACAGCGCCTGGTTCATCTTTCTCTTGTGATGATGCAATGCACCACTTATGAAAAGCCATTTCCATAACCAAAAGTTCAAAAGTAAAGCATTTGTACACTTAGAGAGGAAGTGTAGAAGGTGCTTGGGGTATGTCCAAAATGTGGGACCTAGGCTTCTACCTGTTGCTCTATTTTAACACATCTCCCCCCGTTTTCATCTGATAGACAGGAAATAACTTGAGATGGGAGATTTTCGCTAGAAAAGAAATTTTCCTTCTCTTTCTAGATTTTTTTAGAACTCCCAATATTTTAATTCGCTTGGGAGGAGGAAAAAAAATAGAAGCATTATGTTGACTCAATTTCTAAGCTGTTGTCTGTATGCTAACAGCTTTGTGGAGTGGAAATCACTATCTACTTAAGTCATAACAATTTTGTAAGATGCATCCCAATGTCAGGAGCCTTAAAACGCAAGCCTTTGCCTCTCACACAGCGGGCACATTAGGGTGATGATGGGACTTTCCTAATGTTTCTCAAGTTCTCTGCAATGCCAGCTGCGCCTTGGGCATCTTTCAGGGCCATGAAGAGAGTTCCTAGGAAGGAAAGTGGCTCTGTCAGACTTTCCTGGATGAGACATCCCTCCAGCTCCTAGAGAACATTAAATGGGCAGGAAGCACGGGTCACAGATGTTTGTCATCTTCTCGTCCTGCTCCCAACTCCTGGGGCCTCCCCTCCTCCGACTACGCCAGGTGAGGTGTGTACAAATCATTCATAGCAAACTGAACACTAGCCTTCCTTCGTACTCTTGTTCATTACACATATTTCCTAGTCACCTTTCTTCAGAAGCATGATCTCCTCCTCCAAAGGACAAATATCCCTGAAATCTTGGTCTGCTGGGCTGGTGTTTCTTTCAAATAGGAACCGCATTAATTGTGCGTATGTGAAACATGTATCCACACACCTCCTGAGTCACTGTGTGAGCCGCCAAAAGTGGGCTTACTAAAGTTCAAGTAGCTAGTTTCTCCACTGATGGGTCATGACCCCTTTGGGAGTGGAACAATGACCCTTTCCCAGGGGTCACTCAATTCCATCAGAGAATACAGATGTTTCCATTATGATTCGTAATAGTAGCAAAGTTACAGTTATGAAGCAGCAGTGAAGATAATTTTATTGTTGGGGGTCACCACACCATGAGGAACTGTATTAAGTGGTTGTACTATAGGAAGGTTGAGGACCACAGAACAAGCCTAACATCAATACCCTCGGAGGCATTAGCATATCTCGATGGTCTGCACATGATAGAGACATCATTGCTCCCCAAAACATAGACATGAACAATCCGGTTCTAATCATCACTAAGCAGCTCACAAGCTCACTGAAGTCTGTGGACTTCAACTACAAGCCCCCACACTGTCTAACAAACTCCGTACAGAGCGCAGCCCGTGATCTGGAGGTGGGTTAGGGACGTGCGAATGCGTTAGAGCACAGGGCCACCAGACCCTTGCACATGAAAAGGAGCCTCAGACAAATCGCCGAAAAGACAAACACAGGAAAGGATGTCACTAGAGCAAGCCCTCAGGTGTCACTAACCACCATCTGTCACCATTTGCTGGCTCTTTGCCAGACTCCTCTTCGTCTCCTTGAGCCCCAGGTAAGCTTTACTTAGCCAACCCAGATGACCTGGTTTACTTTGAACAGTTTGTTTGGCTCCAAGGACCCTGCACTAGATGCTGTAAGCACCATCAGATTACGGCTGGAGGGCATCAGATCGATTAAGTAAAATGGAAGGCACGCCTTCCTGTGCTTAAGGCAGCCATGATTTCTTATCCAAAGGAGGAAGACGTCATGAGACATACGAGTGACCTAAGCCGGCAACAAGGGGCAGCGTGCCGGAAAGACAGGCAGTGGGGACTTGCTTGTTTCTTAACTGCTTCAGGCCAGGCTCTGCCCTTCCTCTTCTGCTGCTTAAAGCACGACAGACCAACCACACCGGCCATGCTCCCTGAGGATTACAAGAGTGCTTTCCATGCTCACTTTGTCGCCTCCTCCCTCCACACACAATGCCATGGAATCCCACTTTGCAAATGGAGAATGACAGATTGTCCCCTAGCCAAGGATATCACCAGTGAGAGATGGATCTCAGACTCCAACTCGGTGTGTCTGACTGAAACCGAGCTGTTAAAGTCCTGGGTCAGCTACAGACAAAGCTGACATTAACCAGCACTTCTCCCAGGCCAGGCTTGACTCTACAAATTACACAAGCATTGCCCAGCGGTGGTGGTGCACGCCTTTAAACCCAGCACTTAGGAGGCAGAGGCAGACAGATCTCCATGAGTTTGAGGCCAGCCTGGTCTACAAGAGCTAGTTCCAGGACAGATAGGACTGTTGCACAGAGAAATCCTGTCTCAGAGAGAGAGCGAGAGAGAGAGAGAGAGAGAAATAGTATTTCTGTGGCTAAATGTATCTGGACAAATTTGTTTACACCAATATCATTATAACCATGATCAATGTGTTACACTAGGACTTAAGAATGACCACGGCGGGGTGGGGGTGGGGGAATGACCACAGTGTCAGGACAACCACAGTGGCACCTGGCAAGAAGAATCTATCAACTCCTATAACCCTATGGGTGATGGGTAATGTGAGTCACCTTTGACCCATATACTGCTGTGTAGCGAGTGACTGAACTGTTACAATAGAGGAAACAAATGACAACGTTTACACAATTAACAAAAGACAAAACCAGGATGCTTGGTCTATGTTCTCATCCCCATCCTGCACTATATAGAAAGAGAAAGTATTGATTGGAAAGTCAGTCCTAACCATGAGCCTAAGTTCACCAACATCAGCAGTAGCCTGATGGCTTGTGAGTGGAAATTAGGAACCAGCTCTCAGGCAGAAGGGTGGAGGTACTGAGACAGGCAAGACCCTGTCTCTGTTGGATGTAACAAGCATGTAGGAGTTCTGAACACATCATCAGTGCATTTATATAAGGCAAGGCAGGGTGAAGGACACACAGGAACTACAGAGGGATTGGATGGTTACAGTGATAAGAAAACGCTTACTCAGAATCTTTGACACCTAAGCAGCGTTTTGAGGCATGCCACCAAGCACCCAAACATGGTACAGCACTTCAAATAGATGGAACCCCAAAGAGAAGCTGAAGCGAGAGTGGGCGTGGTATGGCATGGGAGCAGGATACCTAGCTAACGCTCCCCTCGTGCTATTAGAAAAGCGTCTTCAGTTCCCCAGAGCTAACCCACCCCTCCTGGCTTTCCCTCATCCAGTAACAATGTTATAACTGCTACTTGGGTTTGAACCTAGAGCCTCACACAGGACCGTCCAAGCACTCCACCACTAAACTACCACGCCCCCTAGTCCCAGTTACAAATATTTCTCAAGCTCCACATTCAAGTATTTAAACATAATAGATGGGGGGGTGGAGAAAAGCTGTATTTACAGAGCAGTCACCATGTGACTATGAAAATCACCACAACCCCTCATGGGTAGAAACGCATTCCCGTGGTAGACTCAAATTAGCCCAGATACTAATCCAAGTCTGTCCTCCTCCAGATCCTGTGTCTCTTCCTCCACAGTGATGAATGATGTGTAGAGACCTTGGCTTGTCCGTTCTCACCAATGAGGAGACTCAAAAACAGGCCACACTGTGGGCAAATACCGGTGCATGACCAGGACTAAGTGCAAAGTCCATACACTCAGTGGTGTCTCCAGCTTCCAACTCTGCCCTCAATGTTGATTATCCCCACCCCACCCCAGTTCAGATCTGCCACACTGGATAAAATGCTGGGGCAGACCCAGCCGGGTCCATCACATCTGCCTTCTCCTGACTTAAGAGACCAAAGACAGTAATTGTTGTGGGGCCAGAATAGCCACTGCTAGCCCTTCACCTTGTCACCAGTCCCTCTAAGTCACCCTTAGTATTCTTGGGTAGGCAGAGCTTATTGAAGTCGCCCCTGGCCACCATCTCTGACACCCCTAGATAGGTGCATTTCTCCCAAAATGAACCTTAAGAGGAAAACCCAGAGGTCTCTGGGACCAGCCATCAGTGTGGCGTTTTCTTGCCTTACTTGGGTCATGATTTGCCCTTCCAGCCAGAATGCTGTGGGACTCAATTTTTGAGTGTCAAGAACCTGAGA